TATCGTGCTGTATTTGCGGGATGCTACGCTCACTGCTGAATATGGAAGAATAATATAAGTTGAGGAAGTTAGCCTTTTCTATCGAATCAGTAACGAGTCGTCCATTAACATCTTTGATTGCAGGAATATTTTCCCTATTTCCTTTGCGTCCTTTTACATACTTATAGAACTCAGTCTAGCAGTTACCTTCTTTTTTTAATACAGTCCTTAAAAAAATTCCTGCGCATTTTGCTTCGCTAATAACAACTGCTTGGATGATCGCTTCAGTTCCTCTCGATACTGCTGCCCTAATTTTCTTCTATTATATGCTTTTCTGAACTTTAATTTTAATTTTTTCATTTCCTTATTTTAGTAGTCAGGGTCTGAATTTTTTCTGAGTATTCTATGTGGAATAAATCTTTCGATACACTGAAGTATTATGCTCTTGAAATTATTCCATACTTCCTCAACGCATCCACCATTGCTTACCCATATTGAAAATTTATCCCGGAGAAAAGTTTGTAGACCTATGGTATCTGCTTTGTGGTACACCGGTACCAGTCTTTCTACTTCTGGTCGACAGTATATTTCTTTCCATTCTACTTCTAATAACACCCCACAATGGTCACTGATCCCTTGTATAACGCTGCAAGAGGTAAACAGGTTTTCCGGGCGGACTAAGTATACATCCAGCAATGCATCCCCTCGTGTCGAGTTGTTTACTACCTGCGTGTACCCACTTTTCCACCCCAATCTTTTTACAGATTCCTGACCTCCACTAATGCATTGCACGTTTCCATTCCAATCGGCGTAGGGCAAGTTTAAGTCTCCTGCAATAATGCTACGCTTTGTAAAATTTCCTAAAGAATCGGCTCGGGCTGCCAGTCTTTCTATAACCCGCATATCCTCATTCGGAGCTCTGTAGATGTCTACAATTTCCCATGTATATTTAGGGTCTCTGCCATTCACTTCAACTGTAATCATTTTGAAATCCTCGTCCACCCATAGTTCCACGCAAGCAATGTAATTCTTTACACAAATAAACACTCCACCACCTCGAGTATTCCTATCTCTCCTGAAAGTTGTGTACTCGTCCCTAAAAACTTCGGCATTGCTAATTTCCTGTCTGAGCCATGACTCCGTACCTATTATAAAATCGGGATTATACGTATCAATTAAATTCCAACATTCTAAAGATTTATTATGAATACTCCTGCAATTTACATGAAGCAAAACCAAAGAATTGCCCTCTATCTTCTATGCCCCTCCCGTAGCTACACATCCATCATTTGTGTTTTCCTGTCTCCTTGTCGCCGCCCCGGTTAGCGTCGGATCCTCGGTAATCGTGTTCGTCATCCCTCCAGGCGTTCCCTCATTGTTAACCCTCAGCAGCAGTCACTTGTTCCGATTTTGCACTCGGCCACCGAAATCACACACTCTGGAATACAGCTGGCCTAGTTTCCTCGCTCCGCTACTGTTTATGTGTAGTCCATCCCTGCCGAAGTCCCAGTCCTCAATCCAACTGTTTGGGTCCACAAATGTAACTCCTAGTGACCTCGCTACCCAGTCATATCTCTCGTTTAGTGCTCCAATACGCCACCACGACACGTCTCTGCGCCTAAGTACGCCACTCAGAACTAAAGTGGCTTGAGGAAACTTAGTCTTAGCCTTCTTCACCAGAGCATATACATCACCCATCACATAATCCAGATTTCCAGTTCGTCTTAGATCGTTAGTGCCTACATGAATTACGACAGTATCAGGGGCCCCTAGATCTCTGTTGTCTATGACTCGCTGCAGTTGCTCAGTTCTAATTCCCGGAAAACACTGTACCCTCATATGTTCAGCTTCCACATTGCGTATAATGGAGTCACCCAACACTAAGCACTCAGCATCTTGTTGTCTCTGCACCGTATCACCCCTGGCAACCGCTCCTCGTAACTGATTTTCCAGCGCACTGTTCTTCCGTTTAAGTTCTTCAATCTGCTTCATTGCATTCTCCAGTTTCTCCTCCAGTTGTCGAAGCCTGCCCCACCTGCACCTCTCACATCTCCACTTCCCGCTCTCTGCCATTTGGGCCTTTACATTGCCACAGCTGTTGTGAAACCAGCGTCCACATGTGTCGCACTGTGTTCCCGATTTCAGGTTCCTCTCACACCCGCTACACAATGCTTGTAGAATGTTCTCAGCATCCACAACAGGACCAGGGTTTTGCTCCACACCGCCGATTACTAATACTATGGCTAGAGCCGCTGCGCATAGAAGCATGTTGCCTATGTAGCTTCTTGCTTGTCCGTTCACCTCCCGGCCTTGGGCATGGCGCCAGGGAGTCCTTGCAGCCCAGTTGCCCACACGAGCTAGATAGTCCTCCAGGTAGCAACCCATTTCTATTAACTCTCCGGAAACACGACCGCTCTCGACAACGTACTGTACTGTACTGATTAACAGAAGATGTACGTCAAAGCTACTGCAAGACGCCGAATTGGATCAATGCTACTTCTGAAGTTTGTGTTCAGTTTTGTAATGTCGTTTTTTATCTTCTCTAGCAGCTTGTCAAAAAACTCAGAATTCATCCTAAATGCCCTGTAGAATCTTTCTTCATCTTCCCTCAACAGATGATACAAATTATTAAACTTATCTTTACACTCTCTGGACATGTTGATTTCATGCACCCATAATCTTCAGCGTTCTTTCCTAGAAGGAAAAAGTTATAGTTCGGTTGGTAAGAAGAAATCTATAATGTTCTATGATACTATGTAGTGTGTAAGAAATAAAAAACGACAAACATTAAGCTTTCCGTCAAAATTTAATTATAGATATTACTCATATATAAATGCAATGATATTTATGTATATATGAAGATGAGATGCGTTACTTACCTTTTCATCTCTTTATCATCGTCAAAGGCTACTGCTTTAAGAAGAGGCAACCATAAAGTATCGACAAAGGCTGAAAAGCGACTGAGACTGTTTTCCGCAGAATTTTCCCTCGCGATCAGCCCCGTGAAACTCCCATGTTATTGGTTGGCAACATGGCCGCCATGACACCTCGGTGAAATGCTGCTGCCATCTATGTTCAGCTTACATGACTAAATTAAAAATGACCTCCAGGGCCGAGAGCACAATCGGTAAGAAGGTATGCTACCTTAGCAACTATTTTGAGTGTTCCCCCTCGCCACCATCAAAATACTTTTTTCGCTACTAGATCTCTTGTACTGCAGTCTCTCTTTTCTTCTGGCGTTCCCACTAATAACCTATATGCATTCCTCGCCTCCCTATTCGTGCTACATGCCCTGCCAACCTCATCCTCCTCGACTAGTTATATTGAACACAGTCAAAGTATTCATTTCCACCCCCCAACCTATTTCCATTTTTGAACTGTGTTCAATATCACTGGTCGAGGAGGATGAGGTTGGCAGGGCATGTTGCACGAATGCGGAGGCGAGGAATGCATATAGGTTATTAGTGGGAACGCCAGAAGGAAAGAGACTATTGGGAAGACCAAGGTGTAGGTGGGTGGACAATATTAAAATGTATATTACATTTAAGCATCCTGTTACACTCTACACGATAAATGATACAAACTCCGTCCCAAGTGCAAACAATATATATTATATGTCTTTGATCTTGTTCTTTCTACACTACATGTTTCGGCCTCTATCGGCCATCATCAGGTGTATACTCTTAACATTGCTGCCACACTGAACCCAGTCTAAAATTTAGCATTTAAAAACACAATGTCACTTTCTTCGTATTATCAACATCTACCTCGTTGATATGTGTCTGGTATGTAGATTATATTGCACACGTCAAATTTGATATTCCTATAGTAGCACTATAAAATCTTTAGTTATGATGTTTTTAAAATCTTTTAAAATATTCTCTAAATTTTAAATTTAAAAGAAGACTACTTTAAGTAAATATAAATAACAATATACACACATAAGAAAATATTACGTACATAAAATAATAATACGAATATTTGTATATTACAGATAACACCTGTACAGTGTGGAAACAAGAACTAGCCGCTCCAGCACTTAGACATAGGGCGAGTAACCCT